ATTTAATTCCGCTGCTTATTTCTTCTGTTCTCCAGTTTAAATTAATTTTAAGTTTTTTTATAGGCAGTCACTTTTAAAACAGTAAAAATTCCTCAGCAGCTGAAAACACTTTCTCTTTCCATATCCTTCCATTTTGGAACCGCCCTGACCTCATCAGCCATTTAGCTGGATTTTTTGTCACTGGCTTGAAGGACTTCTCTTGGTTTAATCAGAGACTTTACGATGTCGCTGTGATCAGCAAGATGTATTCTTCCTGTTCACTGTCTCTATGAGACAGTTTAGGTCCGTTTGGACCACCCAGAGACAAAAGTGTTGACTGCGATCTCAGAGCATTGAGATTGCACGTCGGGTCATCGCGACTTTGGCTCCTCCCCCCAAATGTTGGTGGAGTCCTTGATGCTCTCTGAACTTGGTTATATGCTTTCATTACCCAACTAGGTAACATCGTGCTACTGAGAGTGGATTTGCTCCCTGTTTTTATACAGCAACTTGCCCTGCCTGTTTTGGAGGGGAGGTTGTTTTCTCCTTGTAGTTCCTTGATTAGGATATAGTTTCTGCTTGATTGTTCACCTGATGTTACTTCCTGCTTATCTGGGTGTTGGCTGTTGGAAAGAATGTACGCTGGTCTTTTTGTTTCCTTCTTAGCTTTTTGTCGACTCTTTGGAATGGTTTGTATTTCTATATCTCTATTGTTGGCTGATGTTCTTCCCATTGCTGATGAAGCACACACAGCTGAGACACCTATTGCCTTTTTTTGTTTATTCCATTATTACTATTTTTATAAATATCTCAAGATGGCAAAGAAAATATTCCTACCTCCTATTTTTCCCACAACCCACAATCCTGTGAGGTAGGCTGGGCTGATTTTCATGGCTAAGGTGGGACTAGAACTCACAAATGTCTACCTTCTAGCATGATGTCTTAACCACTAAACCAAATTGGATCTTGCGTGTCTTCCCTGAGGAAGACACTGGTGAAGGTCAGCTGGGCAGGGTAGGACTAGGTGGCAGTAGAAGAGTAGAAGAGGATAGCTAAAAGAGCAAAGATGGCAGGAGACAGGCAGTTGGGAGGAGTTGAAGCATACACTGTAATTGTAAATGCAGGCAGACTGCCAAGTGCCCAAATTTTGATCACATGCCCAAAGGGGACCTGCAACAGCCATAACTTCAAACCATCACTAAATGAATGGTCATTAAACAAGGACTACCTGTATAAAAATAATGCAGGCACAATACTCCCAAAACAAGCTTGGATAAACAAGGTACCTATAGAATAAGAATGATGATAATCCAAATTGATACTGCTTTTGGGGGAAGGGGTTGTGGGCTTTATGAAGAAGCAAACAAATTGTCACCATAGAAATCAGTTTTATTAAGTGTGCTAATTTTTGTCAGCAGGTCAAGAGGAGGAGCTCCCCATAGAATATTTTACTTCTTATCTTAAGGAACCCCTGAGTAAAGAACGAGTGGAAACATTCAGTGATGGAGTTTATGCAATTGTTGCAACTCTGTTGATTCTGGACATATGGTAAGTCTTCAGCAATAGAATAAAACTGCACCCAGTATTTTCAAGTGTGGTGCAGTGCTAAGGGGAAAAATAGTATCTGTAATCTATATATAAATAGATGGCACTCTTACTCCCTCTCCCCCTCCCACCCCCACACCCCCGTGTGTGTGTGTGTGTGTGTGTGTGTNTAAGAGCCTAGTTATGCCATGGTGGCACAATAATTAGAATGCAGTATTCCAGGCAAACACTGCCCACTGCCAGGAGTTTGATCCTGATTGCTCAAGGCTGACTCAGCCTTCCATCCTTCCAAGGGTGGTAAAATGAGGACCCAGATTGTTGGGGGCAATAGTCTGACTCTGTAAACTGCTTAGAGAGGGCTGTAAAGCACTATGAAGCGGTATATGTCTAAATGTTATTGCTAGTTATGAAGGACTTGGGTAAGTGTGGGTGTGAGAAAAAACAAATATATATTGTTACTAGTAAAGTTTTGTTGTTTCTTGAAATTAATTCAGTGTATTCCAACCAACTGGTTGTATTGGTGATGATACGCCAAACATGGTGTGTATTTAACAACAGCAACTCCTGCCACCAATTTTCTTCAGATTGATTTGGAAAAAGGCAAGGCATGAAGAGTCACAGAAGGGATCCAGAGAGACAGATTTGATCCTAGGACCTCAGACTAACTACTTGATTTAATCTGTTCTGAAATACAAAAAGAATCTAATTTCTTATTTTGCAGTTCTCCTTAATGGCATCTTTTCCTGAAGAACCATTTGGACTTTTCATGTTTAGTAGCTGTGCTGTTGTAATTGGTGTCATCCAGGTATAGTTGTTTTATATTTATATTTCACTACTTGACTTACAACAAAGGGCTGTAAAGCACTGTGAAGTGGTATATAAGTCTAAATGCTATTGCTATTAAGTGACCGTTCCAAGTTAAATGGCACTGAAAAAAGTGACATAACTATTTTTCACACGACCATTACAGCATTCCCATAGTCATGTGATTTACATTGGGATGCTTGACAATTGACTCGTATTTAGGACGGTTCCAGTATCCCGGGGTCTCCTGATCATCTTTCACGACCTTCTGACAAGCGAAGCCAATGGGGAAACCAGATTCACTTAACAACCATGTTACTAATTTAAGAACTGCAGTGATTTGCTTAACGAGCATGGTGAGAAAAGTAATTTAAAATGTGGCAAAACTCGCTTAATTTCTCAGTGACATAAATTTTGGGCTCAATTGTGGTCATAAGTTGTGGACTACCTCTGCTGTATTGTTTAATAAACCATAATTAAAAATGAGATGGGTATTAAGATCAACACTATTTTCCTTTGTGAGAGAATATACAGGTAGACTAATTTCCATTGCTAAGCTAGGCAGTTGTTAAGTGACTCATACCCACTTTTGCAACTTTTTTGCCATGGTTGCAGTTGTTAGTTGTTAAAAACCCACTTTCTCCATTGACTTTGCTTGTCGGAAGCCAGCTGGGAAGGTTGCAAAGGGTGATCACATGACCCTGGGACACAACAACCATTGCAAACATGTGTTGGTTTTATGACTATATGCCAAGGAGCATGGAACGCTGTTACCGTGGTACCTATTTATCTACTCAAATTTACATGCTTTCAAACTGCTAGATTGACAGGAGCTGGAGCAGCTAACAGGAGCTCACCTATTCTACAGCGCTTGGGTCTCGAACCTGGGCTGTCAGTTTGTCAGTTGACAACCTCAGCATCTTTAACTTCTGAGCCATCACGCTCCCTAAGGTTATGTTAAGGATGTTACAATAAGGAGTTCTGATGTGGGTGGGGATCCAGCTGCTCTGTAAGCCCAGAAAAGTATATGGCTCCTTTAAAAAGTATGGTATATATATTTACACCTGCTCCAACCATCTTTTTAATTTTGGATCCCAAGTGCAACATACTCTTATTAAAACTGAAGGCAAGTCTTCCAAGTGCCCAAGTTGTGATTATTTGAATTAACATCCAAACAATTATTTGCCCTCTGACAGTGCAGCAATATTTTCTTGTTTTGCAGGCAATGATTGTATTATATGGCTTCAAACATTCGTATTTACTGAATCATCAAATACAGGAATCTGAAAACACAGCATTTTACAAATACCATATCTTGAAGATTATCCTGAGAGGACCAACCCTGAGCTTTTTGGCCGCCATTTCCTCGTTTTTCTTCTTTCCATTGGTAGGTGCATCAAATTAGGACAGTGTTTCCCAAGTGTTGTACCATTATGGTGTGGTGGGCCTTAAATTTAGTGATTATGTATGTAAGATGTTTTTGTTCTGTGCTGAAGGTTTATACCAGAGGTGGGGAACCATGGCCCAAAGGTGGTATTCAGCAGGTTCTGACCAGTTCTGGAGAAACAGCAGCAGAAATTTTGAGTAGTTCGGAGAACCGGTAAATACCACCTCTGACTGCCCCTGCCCCCATCTATTCTCGGCCTCCCAAGTCCCAGCTGATTGGGAGGAAATGGGGACTTTGGAGTAACCTTCCCCTGGAATGGGGAGGGAATGGAGATTTTACAGTATCCTTCCCTGGAGTGGGATGGAAATGGAGATTTTACAGTATCCTTCCCCAGCCATGCCAACTAAGCCATGCCACGCCCACAGAACCAGAAGTAAAAAAAATGAATCCCACCACTGCCATGGCGCCTTATGATTTTTGGACTTCAATTCCCAGAATTCCTGAGTCAGGAATTCTGGGAGTTAAAGTCCACAGATCATGAAAGGACCATCGTTCCCCACCCCCTGGTCTACACATTAGGATTTTTCTACTGTTTCAGACTTGGAGTTATTCAAAACTTGTTGATGCTTTCCTTCATGTGAGAGTAATTCTGTTCTGGTTCTATAAAGCTTTTGAAGGTCATCCTTGCTATTAGGATTCTTAATGAATTACAAGAAAAAGTCATCTTATTATTACATTGGAAAGAATTGTTGCTTTATACAGACTGCTTAAAAGACACAGATGTCTTTCTCACGGACATGTATGTTTAAGAGGTCCATAAGCACTGGAATGCTCTGTTCCAAGTCCCGTACAAGGAATCATGAAGATATATGGCTCTGAATTGCATTCTTCTTCTTTGTGATAAAGCCTTAACTGACAAATGTGAATTTGGACTTTTCCCCCCTCTAAAACCCATTCTTGCTAAATGATTCCAAAGAGTCATTCAGAGTCTTTTATTTTAATTATGGAACACACAGTATATGTTGAGTAGGGCAAATGGAAATGTATCATTTTCTACTGATTACCATCGTATCAATGCAAAAACGTTCAATATACGTGTCTTTGTTTCCTTGCAGTCATACATGTTTCTTGGGCTCATTGTTTTTTTCCCACTTCTCAGCCATCTAACCAAATGGTTTAGAAGCAGAATTCTTGGTGAGTGTTGCTTTATAAAGCTTTTTATATCCCCCAGGGAAATTTCAGAACTAGATGATGTATACCAACAATATCATCATCATCATCATCATCATCATCATCATCATCATCATCATCATCGCACTAGCAATAGCACTTACACTTATATACTGCTTTACAGTGCTTTTACAGCCCTCTCTAAGCAGTTTACAGAGTCAGTGTATTGTCCCCAACAATATGGGTCCTCACTTTACCCACCTCAGAAGGATGGAAGGCTGAGTCAACCTTGAGCCTTGTGAGATTTGATCTGCCGAACTGCAGCTAGCAGTCAACTGAAGTAGTCTGCAGTACTGCACTCTAACCACTGCGCCACCTTGGCTCTTTGCATCATCATGCAAAATAAGTAAAGACTCACAATAAAAAGCAGCAAATAATTAAATAATAATTCAAACAGGAAAAAAAGAACAGAAAAGGAGAACATATCATTTTAAGCATTCATGATTTGTTTCAGTCAGTTTCCTGGATAGTTTCCTGTTCCTCTCAATACGGTCCTTTTCACAACCTCATCAACTTTGAAGTGAAATGTTGGTGGAGTCCTTTTTTAAAAAAGTTTTTTTTATTTTTAATTTTCAAAACAAATACAACACATAAAATCTTTTTTACATACTGTAGAAAGTGTATCAGTTGGTTACAAAAAACCTTCATGCATCTCTTCCACAATCATCAAGCATAATTCATATTTTCAAGTATTTTAACTCAGATATTTATACATATTACAGTCATCATACCTCCATTTTCATTTGACTATAGTTGTTTAAACATCCTTCATCATACAATATACGAAGATTTAATACATAACCACATACTGGCATTTCATTTACTATTTCTAAGATCCTCCAATAACACCAAATCCTTATGTCCTATTCTAGCTAAACATCCATAATTTTTAATAACAAAGTTTATCCTGTTTGACTGTTGGGAACAGCTCAAAGGGGTGA